CCCACTGCTGAGGTCAAACCTGACCAAGATGCAGCCTCGGCTCCAGCTGCACCTTCGGAGAAGCGCCGAAATTGCAGAGGCACACGACCGGCTGGACCACCAGCACCGTACCCACCTGCCGAGCTTCGCCGAGGTACTCGAGTTCGACATGCACCCACTCGGGATGACGATCCTCGCTACTTTGTCAACTCATATGACAAGAGCACCATCCCGGCCAGGCCTGTTCAAGTTCCAGCTACCCCTGCCATAAAACCTGAACCAGAGTCAGCCGAGACAGTGGGCGATGCACAGGGGGAGCGATCTGAATCCGAGTACGAGGACGCTCAGGAGCATGCGTACAAAGCATCAACTTCGCTTGATGATGAGCCGCAGACGTACGAGGAGGCGATGAACCGGGATGACACGCCACAGTGGGATGCAGCAACACAGCTCGAGTACAACACCATCAAGGTGAACGGTGTTTTCGAAGAAGTCATGCGCCCGCGAGATCGCAAGATCATCGACTCAAAATGGGTTTTCAAGATCAAACGCGGCCCAACCAGCCAGATTGAGAAGCATAAAGCACGCGTAGTTGCACGCGGCTTTACCCAAGTCGAGGGCGTTGATTACACCGACACATTCGCACCCGTCACGAAGTTCGCCACCATCCGGGCACTCCTCGCCATCGCTGCAAAGCAAGATATGCATGTACATCAGATGGATGTGCGCTCAGCGTTCCTCAATGGCAAGCTCGAGGAGGAGATCTATATGCGTCCACTACCAGGTTTCCGCAATGATCCGAACATTGTCTGGAAGCTTAACCGGGCGCTTTACGGACTCAAGCAGGCGAGTAAGGCTTGGTACACCCGCCTTCGTGAAGTTTTCGAGTTGCTCGGGTACACGCGCTGTGAAGCAGACCATAGCGTGTTCTACCGGGTCCATAACGGAGTGCTCGTCATCGTCGCTGTTTACGTTGATGACAAGCTCATATTCTCGAAGGACATCGTCACCATCAAGCAGCTCAAGAAGCAACTGTCAGACGCTTACGAGATGACAGACCTTGGTGAGGCACGATGGATCTCAGGGATGGAGCTCATCCGGGACTGGAAGAAAGGTACCATCGAGCTGTCGCAGCAACGCTATGTTGAGACGCTCCTCGAGCGCGCTCAAATGCACGCTGCATGGCCTGTCGGCACCCCAATGGATGCAAACACCAAACTCGAGAAGAGTGAGGTCCCAACGACCGATGTTCGCGCGTACCAAAGCGGCGTCGGGTCACTCATGTATGCGATGCTCGCAACACGCCCAGATCTCGCATTTGCAGTGGGCGTTCTCAGCAAGCACTCGGCAACCCCGGCTTTCCAGCACTACATGGCGCTCAAACGCGTCCACCGCTACCTTGTAGGAACATCCGCGGCGCGCCTCATTTTCAAGCGCGACGCAGATCTTGCTCCGACGGCATTTGTCGACGCCGATTGGGCTGCAGACGCGACGGATCGACGCTCCGTCACTGGCTACGTTTTCGTAATGGCTGGTGGCGCTGTCAG